CGGCCCCCGACGCCCTCGGCTTCCAGCGCGGGGAGGGCGAGGGCGCGGGGAGCGTCTCCACACGGGAAGTCCGGTCCTGCCGTGCCTCCGGGGCTAACCGCTGAGCCCCGAGCGTCCCTGAGGGAAGAGACATTTCATGCTTTCTAGTTTACAAAATAAATGCCTCCACAGTAGGCTCGGGCATTTTGAAGGCTCTATACTGGGAACAAGGAGATCATGCTCTTTTCTGGGACCTACATTAATTGCCCACGCTTCAACCATATTTACAGAATTGGGTGAAAAAGCAATTTTTTTACTCTCTCCTTTGATTCTCCCCCTCCCCTTTTTCCTACCGGGAAGGTGGAAATGCCCCCCTCAGACACTACCAGCTGGTAGGGGTTCCCGCAGAGATGAGCCACGCTGCGCTGCTCGCGCTGTTTACCCGTCCTCAGACACCCACGTACAAGCTTTCCCAGTCCTCTGAGCTTCACAGCTTCTTAAAAAGCAAAGAAACTAGACACTGCCAGAGCTGAACACCCTTTGTTCCCTCCAGCGCCCTGATGAACGCAGTCTGACTCCATACGGAGTCACCACGCAGCGTCACAAAGCCACCTCCACTCGCCACCGGCCCCCAAAAGCAGGAAAGTGGCCCCCACGGCACGCTGGGAGACGTAGAGCAACTGCAAAGCCCCAAAGCGTGTGTGACTGAGGACTAAGCCGCACAGAAACTGGTAACCTTGGATAACTCCGAAATTCATTAGTGGCTAATGAGATGGCAAATACGAGCGGGTTTCTTCAGGCTCAAGCAGTGCGCTCGCGACGCACAGACCAACTGCTCATCATGGCTCTTCTTGTGACATCACCCGTTAGGCTGGAAAGTCTCCTGTGCCATCAAAGCACTCGCGTAGGCTGCCTTGTAAGCAGGAAAGGGGCGATCTGAGGATAACAATTTCATTAACAATTTCTCCGCTCAGCCCTTTATTTGCTTCCTCCCTCCTATATTTTAGTAAGGGATCACCAACTCTACAGAAAAGCCAGGGTTTTCTCAGGTTTTCTAGGGGCTGACTGTCCCTTCAATCAAGCTGTTTATACTGATTTTATTGGTCACCGTTACTAACTTGTTTCCAGGACCCAAGAGCTTTCTCTGTAGCCTGTTATATACTCACTAAACCTCCTACTCAAGTACAACCTTGAATACCCCTGCAAGGATCAGCCTTAAAAAACCCCAGCTCTTCTGAGTTGAAATTCATTGCAGAGCCTGTCTAACATCGCACACTCCAGTCTCCTGCTCTGCGTGGTTCTCCCTCACTCCTTTAGATTGCAGATAGTTATTTCCAAACAGTAAGCAGCCTGTGACAAGCCCACGTATCAGTCTGCCACCAGAGCGTGTTCCTGGCATCTGTCCTCAAGATCGAGTTATTCTCATGCCTTCTTTTCATCAGAAACTAGTGCAGGGCATGTATTCTCTCCCTGTCCTTTGCATGCAAACAGAAGACATTTTGCAGAAGCGGATTAGCTTTGACTTACTTTCCAATGTATAAAAGCATTGTGTTGCACGTGTGCGGGTCTTCAGACTGACAGACAGCTTACCAGGGTTTTGGAAATACATGGATTAGGCACCTAACACCCACCGATACCAGAAGTGAAACTGATGGGAGCAAGGGGTTTTTTGACTCCGAAGTTGGACTATGCCACAGTTACTTCACGCCTGGGAATTCTTCATGTTTCGGCAGTAAACAAGATGTAACATCCTCCTACAGTTTAATCCCCGTCAGTTACCCAGGCTAGGTGCAAGATCACTGAACTGCACATCTATTTAAGATACAGATAATAGCTAAGGAAAGGCTACTTCAAAAATAAAACATAGAGCTGTAGCATTTTAATACATTAATCTTAATAGCATGTTGCAAGGAAACTGTTAAAATGCTTGGGGGAGGTGTAGACCTTCAAGACAAGTTTTTATCTACCACCTTTAGGGAGAAGGGGGATGACTGCAAACACTGCATGACTGCTTTGAAGTCAAGCCCTCTGCTTGGCTGATGAACCAAGCATCCTCTTGGAGACAGATGAATGACAAATGTCATCGTAAGCAAGTGGGGGCCTAAGTACATCCTTGTGACTTAGTCAGAACTGACTGCAGCTGCTGATGGTTGCACTTTCTGTCAGGGGCCTAGGAAAGCTGTAGAGTAGATTTAAGATTGTATCACTGCATTGCATTTAATCGATTTCATATAAACACAAACACAATTTTGCATGCTAATGGATGCCATGTACAAAGCAGTAACTTATCTTTGTGTAAGTGCAAGAATGAGTCACTGCAGGATAAGATTTTATAATTTGGATATGCTATTTAAATAATATCTACGCCATTAGCTGCTTATTAGCATTTCACCAGAGTCCCCAGAGAAACTGCTACCATCACAGCAGGAGATGTTTGAAGTTATACTTAATTCTTGCACAAAAGGGATTGCACATCTCCCCTTTTTGTGAGGATGGAACAGCAGAGAGTTACAAGTGGAAAGACAAGTTATGAAGACCTCACTTCCACAGAACACACCATCTTGTGTCTGCTAGAGGTATTTGCTTAAATAAATTAACTTCATCAAGATTCAGCCTCCTACATTTGAAAACCCTTCTTACCTCCCCTCTCAGCCAACAGGCTCAGGCTGGAAGAGTTGTGCCTGCTCATTTTTAGCCACATGAATGTGATGGGGCTTGAACTTCAGCTTTGATGAAAATACCGTAAGACTCAAGAAACAAAACTGTCAGCAGAATATACCTACCAGTGTTTTAACAAGTGATATTTTAATTTGTTTGGAAATGAAAGAGGTTTTAGGAAAGAAAAAGAAAGTTATGCAGTAAGCTGCTAAATCACAGGTGTTAAACATGCAAATTTTAAAGAGCGCACTAGAGTTTCAGTGTGGTATCATGAACACAAGAGTAAAGAGTTCAGTAGACACACTGGTTAACATGCCAAACATCTATAACAAATTACTGTTGCCTAGCTTTGTTTATTGGTAAATCACTTTAGTAACCCGAATTCACAAATAAGCAGTAAATAACAAAAACTACAGATAAACACAGGTTACACATGCAAATTCCTGTTCACATATCACATGTGCAGGTACATTAAGAGCACAGTTCTAAAGATTCTTGACGAAACCAGATTTTAACAAAAATGGTTTTAAAATGCAGGTATGAAAAAATTACATGTGAAGAATATAAAGATACCTTTTTACATTTCAGGACTCCAATGCTGCTTTTGAATATACTAGAGATGTACGACAGCTACAAGTTTCAAGTAAAAGCAGGCAGAGCTCAAGGAAATAATACTGGTCAGAGGAGAATGGGCATTTACTCTTCACCAAAAATACACGGAATAGCTGAATAGGAGAGTCTATCAAGAGTTTTGGGGAAAAAAAAAAATCACAAAGTTGTAAAGCTGACTAATCACTAGTTTTCCTATTTGCTATGTAACAGCAATGACATTAAAAGAAACTGCAATTCAACATTTAAAAATGCAACTTACATTTAAAGACTTTTCAAAAGTGAAATGCAATGACAGCCTTACAATCAAAATTAAATATCTGCTAGGCTCAGACTGAAACATGGAATGTTCTAGATAAAAATAAAAATACAGCGTTACTTTTTATTTTTTATTGAGAATGGAATTGAAAGACAATTTCTGAAGCTTGAAAGTAGTAAATTTCACTTAAATGAAGTTTTCTTCCCATAGATGAGCTTTCCACAACGGTGCAAGATTTTTTTTCTTTAATAGCTTGAAGTGTCAAAACAAAAACTTGTTGCCATTCTCACATTAAGAACAAATTTTTGTCATTAACTTAACTGCATATGCTTTTTGCTACAACATTTAACACATGAACAGACCTATAATGCCTACTGTATTTCACTAAAACAAAAAAGAATACAGTATTTCCATCTACTACTTGTACTGCTTTTAAAAAAGATTAACATTAAAAACAAAGCCACTGTTTTCCTTACATCCATCCTTCCTTCTAAGCTTCCTTCTTTTGTCTGTGGTCTTCTGCCATTTTATCCAGAATTTTCTGTTGAAAGAAAGCAACCATGTTTTGGATATATTTAAGAGTTTCTCACAGTCACAACATCAGTAACAGAAACATAAATCCAGTTTTCAAGATGTAACATCTGTGAGTATTAACTGCAAAGGTCGTAACAAACAAGACTGGCACTTCTCCACATACTGCAGTCGAGCTCCTCTGAAGCACCGCACCATCATTATGTCACCGAACATGCAGCTCGCCACCAGTAAGCACCAAATGTCAACCTCTGCAAGCATTTACCTGGCCCTGCCCTTAACGCCTTCCTAACAGGCTGGCAACCCAACAGAATTACTTTCCATTTTGTCATGGACTTGTGACACTGGTTGTGCCACTCACCTGGTCAGAATTTGCCATCTGTAAAGCCAGGAAGAAAACATCTCACCTCCCTAGAGAAGGGTTATTTTGGAAGTTTGAGGAATTTGTTACTACTTCGATGACATTTGGCAGCAGTATCAATTCATCTATTCGTTTACTCTTATTGCTGTCGAAGTGAACAAGACTCCTAGCTAGACAAGTGCCTTGCCACTGCGAAATAAGAGCCGCGTTTCCCTCCCCTCCTTCCCCGATTCTAAAACCACATCAGTGTTACAAAGCCATTCACAAGCAGCTCACTAGTCATTTGTGCCACGGAAACAACAAATCAAATCATGTTTCATTTAAGTAAGTGATAAAGTTAATATATTGGGATTATTTCTCCCACTTCCCCTCTTACACCAGGTCTTTAAGGCCCCATAATCAAGTACCTCAATGGAAAAAACAAACAAACAAAAAAAAAAGCTATGGGTGATGGATGAGGCGGGTTTTTCTTACTACAAGATTCTGCATGGGAACTGATTTTCTGATCTACTCCTTGATAATGTTGTTTGCTTTGTGACGTTTGTTTGTGCCATCTGCCTTCCAGGGCTCTACATTTCTTTTGAGTTCCCTATTATTGCAAGGGAGAAAGCAAACATTCTGAGTCTGAGATGCCACCTTCTTCCTGTGTGTGGAATCCCCAGGGCTTTGCTTGCAGCTCAATAATCAGCTGGTATGAAATCAATTTACATGAACACTGCATTATTATTATAATTTCATCTTGGAATTCCCTTTCTTGAAGGCAATATTTAAAAGCAGCTCACAGTACAGCAGCATTATCATTCATGCCATGCAATCATGTGATACCTAATCCAATTAGAAATTGTAAAACAAGCTCACAAAATCAGAAGTTGCAAATATGGTCTGTTTTTTTTTTTTTAATATATAAAAACTTCAGCTTAAGCTCTGTTGACTGGTTAAAAATACTCTCAAAGGGACAACTGAAAGGGATCCAAGTTATCCGTATTTACTTTGCACCACTACCTCTAAGCCTGGCCTTTACTCCAATCAAAATGCCCTCTTTAATCCAAATTTACAAAAAAAATGCTGGAGCCCATCTTTAAAATGTGTATCCTGTGTATTATTTTCAAAAGATGGAAGTTTTGGAGAGATCTAGCTCAAGTTAAAAGTTATAGAATAAGCCAATTTCCACTGCCTGATTTTTTTTTTTCCCCCTCAGTCCAGTCTCGTTCAGATCTATTCCCCAGGAAAGAATCACGCCATTTAAAATGAACAAGTTTTTGCCTTACCTTCAACTTTTGATAATGAGGAAGGCTGCTGCAATGGGTCTTTTTTGCAACATCTTCATTTGTGTAGAACAGGGAACACAATTTGCAATAAAACCCTGTTTTGGGTACCACATAATTCACACCTAGAGAAGTAAACACCACAAAATAAACTAAGAGATCTACTCTACATCATTTCTTTTAATGTCATACGTCATTTCAGCTAAATCTTAAAACCGTAATTCACTTTACATTAAAAGCTGCTTTATCTTTATACGTTCTTGGTTTAGTTTATTCAAGCCGGGGCCTAGCAATAACTAAATATGTGCAGGATTTTTTTTTTTTTATTTAAAACCAACCTTTCAGATTAAGGGTCCATTTTACTGGTTCCTTCAAAAGAACTAAGAACATTCTGTGGCAAGTTTCCAAATTCTGAGTATTTAGTATGAACCTAAACTAATATCACTACTGCGATCTGTGCTATTAATTGAATTTGCGTTGCTAAAATATACTTCTTCCGATTTAATTTCTGCCTAAGGAAAGTGTTATGGAGAACTGTATGAAAGTAAGGGAGAAAAGAAAGAAAATACTAGGGTTAAGGGAGGGATGAAGAAGTGGAGAGGAGTGGGAAGCCCTAACATGAAAGGCTCAGAGGCAATGTGTTGCCAGAAATAAAAGTCAAATGAAATGAGAAATGCTACTGCAATGCACAGAGACATCGCTGAAAAGAAACGGAAACAGCCTTACCGACAGGGACGTTTGGCTGGTATGGTCCAATCCTAAATTCATCCGGAACAAGAGACTTCTCTTGGACATTCTTTGTTTCCTGTTCATCCTGGGTGTCTGTATTTTCATGGGCATTTTTCTCAGTATCCTGCGCTGTTGTGGTATCAGCAGCTTCAACAGTGTCAGCCTTTGAATTCTCTTCGGTTTTGGTTCCATTTTCTAACGTCTCATTTTCCTGCTCTGGCTCCTCAATCTTGTCTACCTTGATTTCTGCCAAACTATCATCGTTTTTGCCAGCAGATTTTACTGCCAAACCCTTGCGGAGTTTTTGATGATCCGAGTCTTCTTCATCACCGACCTCATCTAGAGTGACAAAACCTTCCATGCTCCGTGGAAAGCCACCCACGTATCGCTGTTGAGAAAATGTTTTCCGTATGTCAGCTTATTCTTAAATGTTTCCCTCACACCGTCTTAAGTTTCAGAAGAGAAGTATCTTCTCCAAGTTCCCTGGAAAAATGCTCAAATTCTTCCTTCAAAACCCACCTCAGTCATTCAAAATGTTACTCAAGCATGCAGAGGCGTTACAAGCTCTTTTAAAATGTGCTCCACTGTCCCAGAATCAAGTTTTCAATTTCAGATTTTTTTTTTCATCATGAGGGTCCACTGGTTTATCATATCAACATATGATCTCCAACTTGAGAATTTCAGTATCTTTTTGCTCTATTCTTACTTTGAAAGTCCTTCTAACATGAGTATTTTAATTTTTTAGTCAAAGTCATGTTGGAATGCACAAGTTTTGTTTCTATTTGAGACAGTGCCACAAGATGCTCAAATTCATGCCTGCATAACAGGTAAAACCTTACCAGAACACTTCTGTGCCCACTAATAGAACAAAAATTTATTAAAAAACACTTAAGAGCTTTTTCAACCAGTGGAAAGCTTCGCAATTCCGCATTAAAAAAAACAACAAACAAAAAACAATCCAAAAAACACCAACCACCAAAAGCATGGTGTTCTCTTAAAATCCAGCTGCATTAAAAGACAGTGAATCTGTCCAAATTCTCTTAATGGCAACCATGTGTAGCACTGCCACAGCATTAGCTTTACATCTGTGCTCTAAGAATGCAGGTCTTCAAGGAAGCAAGTTTGGGTTTTGAGACAGTTTATCTCAACAGATACCCACATAATAAGAAATAATCACTGCCATTTGCATTGGCAGTACTATCCCAACACCATGTAACTGGCTTCCTGATAAAGGGATCATCCAAAATTCCAAACCACGCACACTTCATTCGTTAAGAATAAGGAACATGCCTTACTCTTTTGCAAAACAAAACTCCACATCAATGAAGTTATTGGAAGTTTGCATGCTACTCTACATAACCAAGTACAATTTAAACGGCAAAAAAAGCAGCTGGTAGGACACAAAACCGTGAGAGTGTGGGATCGTCTAATCATCCTTTTCTCAAGAGGAAGTTCACAGCAAGTAGCCCATTACTGAAGACACCCTGAAACTGATTTTTTTTTTTTCCTCTCCAACTGGAAACGGGCCTTGGCTAAGCACAAATGGACTTCCCTACCTTTCTGGCTAAGCACAGAGCATAGAGGTACATACAGTTTTGGCCAGCTCTAGATCAGCCTCCAATCCCAAGTGTAATTTTTTTGGACGTCATTGTTCTGCTCTGTGTGCAGAGTAACTACAGCTAGTCTCCCAAGAAACTGCGACAGGGAAGAAAACAGCTCTTGGCTGGTTAGTATTAACAAGAGCGAAGAGAAAGGCAAGAAAAACCCCAGGAAGTGACATGGGTAGAAGCCCACAAGTTAACAGTTCTGCCAGAATAGAAACAGTGATTTATAACTGATTTCATTTGCAAGTTGCAGCCAATGGGATCTTCCATTTTCTTCACAGAAGCTTTAACACCTGCTTCTCTTCAGACAGGTGTGCCATGCATGTGTTTTAAAGACCCACAGAACAACCTATGCAATTGAATACCATGGTGCACTATTTAAGCCACACTGTTTTCCACACTCAGGTACCTTGCTATACAGTTACCTTTTTAAGCTTTTTCTTTGCTGCTGGATTGGCCACAACATTCCCCTCAGTTTTTACGGTCACATCATCAGCTGTGTCCTTTTTTTCTTCTGTAGTAGTCACATCAGCCAAAGTGGCAACATCTGCATCATCTCCCGCTGAGCTGCCACTTTCTAACAGTGCTGCTGCTTCCTCCTCATCCACTAGCAGCTCATCTTCAGATTCAAGAAGTAAGCTAGGCTCATCTTGGTCTGTCTGCTCACTAGTTTTGGGGCCTGATGGCTCAGCAGCAGCATCCTCTTGTTTCTCCTCCTTCACTTTATCTTCTACATTGCCACTTTCAGGTTTCTGAGTAGCATCTGGTTTAGGCTTCTTATCACTTGGAGAATCTTTGCTGTCTGGAGAGTAAGTTCTCTTTCTGTAAAGAACAAGGAATACTTGCTTGTAAACCTGAAGAGAGCCCAGAAATGACTAAAAAAAGGTAGGTTATATTTTTCTAGACAAGCCTGAAAAAGACTGTGTTTTAGTTGAGAAAATGGAAGGTTGAAGTAAACCTTGAAGGATATCATTCTGTCAAATACGCAAAAGGAGGAACTGTCCTTGCAAGACAGGACAACTGCTTGTGGGTTTAAAGTGCAGGAAGGCAAGGCTAATTAAGGACTGGAAAAGATTTCCTGAGGAGATCGAGGAGGCTCTGAAATCTCTGTCATTAGAGGAAGAGGGTAGGCAGTGTATTAGAAGCAGTTAATCTCAGGGCACAACAATGTGACTGACTTCTTTTGTGTAATTTCTACACTCTAGATAAGGCATTTTCGTATTTCTTTTAAACAACATTATGCTTTAGCAATAGGAATTTACCTAGTTTTATCCTTTTTCAGCAGTTCAACTCCTTTGTTTGGAATCTAAAATACAATTAAAAAAATCTGTAAGTCACAGTAGAGTATTATTTATACAATTGTTGCAGTATTAATTCAGACAGGACAGCATAATCTAGCCAAGCACTTCCAATTTTGTTAACCCACAGGTATTCTTTTACCATGCCCACCTACCAATCAATTAATAAACTGCTATTATGTTAGGACCATACCAACCTAGAAATCCCAGGTCTTTATTCACAGTAATTACCACTTATTCAATACAAAACAAATGGGATATCCTGCTCTAGAAAAATCATATACAATTCCTCTTTTATGCACTGATACAGCGTGGTGCAGGCAATGGCACAAATCAGTACTCTTCTCCCTGTCATTAGCAGGGGGCTATGTGGAAAGCTTTTGAAGACTCACAACACTTTATTTAAGAGTTACTGAATAGTAAATTCCTCTCATATGGTAGTACCATGGAAAACTATTCAACACATTGGTTAAGTATTTGAATTTGCCATGGAGTGTTCATTTTTGGTGATCACATGCAATAGTAAGATTTTTATACTCCACAACAGAAAATTTCTGATTTTACAAGACAGTTCAGATTTCTCCTGCTTTTCTACCTAGTGTCCTAGTCTGATGGAGAAAGTCTTGTAATTGCAAGAGTATTTGCCTGGGGTTAAAAAAAAAAAAAAAAAAAAAAAAGGTTATCAGCCAACCCTTCCCTCCTTGATATGAGCTGTAGATACAAAGGTGCAGTTATATCCTAAATTTTGACAAGGCTTATTCTTAGAAATTACATCATACAAGGGTTTGTGTACACAACAAGATCAAAAAGCTTTCTGGTGCTAATAAAGAAATTGTTTGGATGGCATCCAACACAGGCAACACATTCCATCATAATACTTCATAGTTTATGAAACAGTCCCTAATAATATTTTGTCTTTGTTCTGTACACAACAGTATGTGTACAACAAAATGGACAAGCTGACCAGTAGCTGTGAAAAGACAGACAAGAATTAAGGAATTAAATATACAATGTGTAAGTACATAGTTCTGCCACCCAGCTTGATTTTACTCATTGATCATTTTCAGAGGGGGGTGAGAAAAAACAAACCACATTACAGAACATTCTAAATGGAGAAATTTTAATTCAAATCTACACCAATTACTCTAAAATCTGAATTCTGGTGGTTCTGTCGTTTTTGTTTAATCTGAAAGGAAAATCCTTTTACTTTTTTCTAGGCCTCATAACTTCACACTCATGCTAAGTAACTGTGCTTAAGTAGCCAGAAAATACTAAAGCAAATCCTTCAATTTCACAAGTGGCATTGAATTCTCAATAAGCAATAGCTGTCTTCTATTTCACTAGCTTCTTCACTTTACACCTTTAGCTACAATTAAAGACCTAAAACCACTACTTACCCTTAACACCAGTTTCTTGTATTTTTCAGATAAATCCACTTTCACACACCTGCCTTGGAACCAAATCGCTTTGTTGGCACAATGCTCAACCATAGCTAAAGCATCCTCTCTGGTCTCCATCTCAATGAAAGCCTGAAAAGATTAAAACGTACATTAAAAACAACTATGAAATACACAGCACTTTTGCAGGCAAAGCTATTTACCTTAAAACATAGCATTTCCAAATGCTGAAACAAAATCATGAGATTCAGCTAAATCCATTCTCTCCAAACTAGCCATACATTTTAAAACGTATCAAAGTGCTCTATATACTCCAGCTTTTCAATTCAGTAATATCTGTCCCATAGAAAGCTCTGAAATGAAACAACAGGCATTTAAATAATCTGCAAAGAAAAAAGGTCACCACAAAGTAAAATATTATTCCAAATGAAAAGCATATGGACAATGAAACTCGTTTATTTGGTGCTTAAAAGTATCTGGGAATTCCAGGAAAGCTGCGAAACTACTCCAGTATTTGATTTTTCAAGAGAAACCTAACACAGAAAGGCAGCAGATGCTGGTCTGTAAGCTCTGCTTTGTGAGGTGTTCCTACAAGAAACAAGCCTCTGACACACTAAGTTTGCTGAACAAGCTTTAAACACATCTTGTCTACAGTATCACTGGCAGATAGAAGAAAGCTGGTTCTGCATCCAACTTAGACAACAACGGATTTTATTTTTCCAGTGAAGTAAGGTCAGGGAGGACTTCCTAGGGGTCATACAATAGATTCTAGTAATTTCTCATTCCACAAGTGTGGCAGTAGGGGATTCAGGCACTTCTCTCTGGAGAAGTGCTGGAATTTCCTACTTAGCTCAAGGGGGCAACAAACTCCGACAGCAAAGCTGAAAAAAGTTTAGAACTAAATACTTTTAACTCCTGCGTATTTACAGAAATCATGTATATGCACATCCAAAGCATTTTACTATACCAATACAATGCACGGTCTTCAAACTATTTTTTTTTAAAGTTAGAGAGTCACAGCATGACTGTTTTTGTTTAAAGAATGAAAAATAAAGGGTAATTAAAGAAATGTGTAATAGCCGAATAGATTTATTAATGTTTCATAAGCCATGATTTTCCAGCCTTAAAAAAAGTTCCAAGGCTCCTAGAAATCTGCGTAACAAAAAAATTAAGCCTCAATGCTAAATATATCTTCTTCACAGCTGAGGCCTGTTCTTTCTTTTTTTTAAAGCAGCTTACATTACAGTAACATTTCGCAGTAAGCTAGATAGCAAAACACCACCTACACAGTCCTTTAATAATTTCCATAGCTATGCTAGAGTAGAAAGTCTACACATGCACTGATTAAAGGCATGTCATTTCTTCACAGTTAGAAACCTTAGTTTCAAATCTTCACACATGGATGTCCCCACAGTCAGTTACCTGGCTTTTCATTCTCATGAGTATGTAGTTCTTAATTTTTCCATACGGTTCAGCCAGTTTGAGCACTGCGTTGTCAGAGTATCCCGAATGAGGTAAATTGCTGAGGTGAATCACACGACCAAGTTCTGGTTTTGGCGGCTCAGTTTTCTGGTCAGGTTTACCCTCGGGTTTCTAAAGTTAGGAGGAAATGAAATTTTTAAAGTACATACTACATAAAATACACATCGGTGACTGTCCCACGATTAAGTTGATACAGCTGAGAAGTACATAAATTAAGAATAACTTAAATGCAGTGGCCTCATAACACTGACTGCTCCAGATTAAAATTAGGCAGAGTTAAAAAAGCAGAAGTATTTTACCTTTATTCTTTTGTATTTCTGTGACAAGTGGACTCTGACTGGTTTACCGAATACCAGCGCGGGTGTTGTTGAATAGTATTCTACTGCAGCCTGGGCATCCTCAGTGGTCGACATTTCAATAAATGCCTGAAATCACATAAAAACAAATTAAGCACTACTCCTTCAAGAACTAGTATCTTTGTTTAGAATCTCAAGCTCTTCCTTGCTTTCCTGTAAAAACAGCTGCATCAAAAATGAAAACTGCCTTTTGGTTACAGCATTAACTGACCTGCAGCACTTGGCATGAATTTCACATACTTTATTTAGGTGCACAAACAGAACTACTTGGTTTGTTTACATTCCACCTACACTTGGATTCAGAACATTCAACTGCTTTCTGCTTTTTCTCTTCTACAATGGCCTTTTCCACACCTCAAAACACGACACACTGTATAATACAAACTAAGACCAAGTACATTTTCAGAGAATATTAGAACAAGAACAGGATCTGCAAGCACAGTGTATTTTTGAGAACGCTATGAACAAGCAACAAGAAGGATTTTTTAAAAAATATTTCAGATAAAATGCGGTACTACAGCATTTCTGGAAAGAAACATACTGGTAACTCTTCCTTTCACACACATGACCTTGGTGACACATGTCATCTTGCTTGGCAGCTGAGCAAGTCCTTTTATGAGAATGAAGCACAGACAGTAAGCATGCTCAAGACACCAAGCAGTACTAAAGGGAAGGGCCTAATCTTACCTCATTGATTTTGTTTAGAATCAGATGATTTGTAATTATTCCAAATGGTTCAACAAGCTGAAGCAGCTGGTATCTCAAGTTCTTTCCCCTCTGGAAATCCATGATGTGAACAACTCTGCTTGTTTCCTGTTGAAGACAAAGCACACATAAGCAACATGAAATGAAAATGTGTATCAGCTAACCTAAAAAGAAAGCCTGTCAAGGCTTGGTCTATTTTTTTTTTTGTATCTTCAGTGATCACCAAAATGAGATGCATACAGTAAAGACACAGCACCTCCAGGGATTTCCACAGAGGAAAACACCTGTCGTGCCAGAGTTGACTTTCTATGTGTTCATGCTCCACAGCTTCATCACAAGACGATGTTTAAACAGGGTCTATACAGTTTTAGAACAAATATTTTTGTGGAGTACTTGGCACAACAAAACCCCAATCATATTCCAAAGCTTCAGTATTTCCACACAAATAAACTCTAAAATCTCACTTTTAAGGACAATCCATTCATTCAAAACAAAACAATCATATGAAAGCAATCGAAAAGCATATATGCCTAAAATTGTGATTTTTTAAAAAATAAAACAAATTTTTAATACTAACCACTCTGCCCTTTTGCATGTGTCTCGGTCCTTGCATATTTCCATTTCCAGCTCCTTTAAGAAATTAAAAGAATGAGCAAGCTTAGTTCAACCTGTAAGACTGCTACTAACATATATCTCAAGAACTTGTAAAGCAACATAAGTCACTTGTAATGCTAAAACAGAATGACATCAAGTTTTAAAAACTAATTACTTCACTACAGTCTGAAAAGGCTGGTAATTTGTTTCTTTCAGAGCTCTTGTAACTTGAGGTCCTCCTTCCTGATCATTCTGTTCAGTTTAACATTAGAGAAAGAGCTGTATTTACTGATGTGCAGAAACAGCAAAGAATAAGTAAAGCCCATTGAAAAAAAATCTCTCCTGTTTTAGAGTAAGATTTGCCATAGCAAAACATCTCTGTACACTAAGGATATGAGATCTCTTTAACTAAGGTCCACTTTTTACAACTGAGGTTTTAGGTGTAGGAAAAGACTCCTAGCTTTGTTTCTAAACTAACACGAATTCTACCATAATGCCCATTTTACTAGGAAACATCTGAAAAAAAGCCTTTCTGATAGTTTGGCTCAAAGTCAAGTTTTAGATGTTTAGAAAAGTTAACAGTATTGTTTTAATTAAGTATGAATATACCTATCATCTAAAAATTCCCTCAAGTGTCTGAAATACTGTGTCAGCATACTTAGATAAATTAGTTAGTTTTGCTCTTTTAGGCACTTGAACTATTTAAAAGGTAGGAAGTAACAGCTTCAGGCAAGAACCTGATTCTTAACCTGCCTTTCTGTGAAGAGGCTTGCATCATCTATCTTCCCATTTCTCAGCTGCTATTCAAATTAATTTGAAATTAAGGGGGGAAAACACTTAGGACATTGAATTCTTACAAGTTTCACAAAAAAAAAAAACACACCAACATGTACCTAATCAGAAGAAAGATACAAAAAACTTTTACAAAGGAAAAAGCACAAGTTCAAAACATGTGTTGATTAATACAGTTAAAAAACCAGCCATAATAATGGGGCTGGTAGTTAGCAGGTGGTAGACAGGTGGAAGTGTGGCATCGGAGTGCCAGCCTTTGGCCAGGGGGGGACTAAAGCATTTCAGTTCCACTGCTCAGAAAAGCAAGTGTTTTGTTTTGTTGTTCTAAAACACTGGTAACAAAATAAAACAAAAGTAAGAGGGAGAAAAAAAATAATCAAGAACTTAAGTCTTGTAAAAGTAGGTGTCTGTTGATGTTACCTCTTGGCCCAACAGGAGGTCCTCCAAGGTGAAACGGAGGTGGTGGTGGTCCCAGAATTCCTGGTGCAGGGTTTGTGGATTGCTGCAACATGAAGGGATCACCCCTAGAAAGAGAAGAAAACACCTTAATTTTAAACCAAAAAACTGTGCTTTCATTCTCAAAAACACCCCTAATTTCTGCAGCGCATCCAAAACAAAGGGAGGTACCCAACCGAAGAAAAGGAGGTGTGTTGTTTCACATAAAATGTTAAGAACATCCTCTGCTTCAATAAAAAATTACAAAAACTTTAAAATTCATTACTACTTACATTCCATGTCCTGAATCACTGTCAGGATTCCATTCTGGGTATCTTAAAAGAAGCAAAAAAAAAGTATGAAAAATACAATTTCCTCTCCCTACACAATAACTTTCTTACAAGCAGCAATACGCTTACAGGTTAACACACGTAAAACACACAGTAACACTGCCCACTACAGGGCCAGTACAAGAGACATGAGCAGTATCTATTGACAGAACGAAGTGTTGCTCTTAATGAGAAACTTCCTACACCATATGCAACATGTCTGCCAATTTGTAATACAAATTGCACAGTTTGTTTCATAACAAAAATTTAGAAGTTGGTATAAGTGACTAGTAAAAAATTACAACAGATTCTCAACTCTGAAGATCCAGCTCTCTAAAACATCACATATAGATCAGCAGGATTCAAGTTATGAACCGAGATCCCATTTTCATCCTGAAAACGCTCTTTTAAGCTGCATGTTTTTATTGCCTGCAAGGCACAGTACGTTTTCTAAATCTGCTTTGTGCAACATAATTAACCATTATTTAGTTGTACATTGCCCTCATGCCACAAGAATGTTTATTGTACTTCAAATTCATACATTTCAAGCAGCAGCTGACAACGTCGGCTGTGAGTCGCTCCATTGATATGATGGTTCCACTCCTGCAGCAAAGTAAGTAATTAAAAATTAACAGCCACATACGGCAAGCCATTTTTCACAAAATATTGTACAGTGCAGTATCTTCTAAGCTGACGTATTGAAGATACATACATATATAACAAAATCTTTTTGTAGTGCTTTAAACAGACACTGAAATTGAACCTACCTCTTAACTCCTAACCTGGGTGAAAAGGTGTCTGACGAAAAACATCTTGCAATCTATTGGCCTGATCCTGCCTCAGAGGTACAAAGCTTACCAGGGGATAACCGCTATGGCATACATACTTATCATTGCTATCCCAACTCTTAAAATTGGATTTTCAGTAAATTTAGAATTTCCTCCACTCTCTCTGCTTCATTCCTCAGGCTTTTAAAGATTAATGTGAACTAGACACTCCAGTTTTCAGAGCCATAAAGAAGCCAAGAAATTGCAAGGAATTCAGAAAGGAAATACTAAAAGAAATCAAAGTGCATAGCTAGGACAAACTACAAGTATACAGGTGACATATAAAAATATATGACCATTTGAGGGGAATAATCAGGAAAAAAAGATCTAAATCAAGATGGTACAAAGGAGGAATAATGGAACTAAACCAAATCAGCCAGGCAAAACTCCTTCTGGTTCTGGCTTTAACACTAGAAAGGAACGAAGGCTTTCTACTTTTTCTCTGCAGATTATTTTGATGACGAAGGGAGCTATTTATTTCAAGAGGAGAGAAGGCCTAGGGACTCCTCCTTTATTGAAGTACAGAGTGCCTCATCTCCATACCTTACATTCTTACAAGTAACAGCACTAGATTGTGCTATATTCGCATTTGTAAAGTGACCGAACTTCTGAGTTCTCACTGCTGCACACCTGTGGTCCACAGTCTAATTTCAACTCTGCTGCTCTTCAGTAAGCAAAGGGATTGGCAGGCAGAGACACACCGGGCAAATTAGCTTTAGGCTCACAGAAAAATTAAGGGGAGGGTAATTAACAGATCTTTGTGGGACAGTTTAACAACTGAAGGTTTTATCTTCTTGACTACATTTTCCACTGTGAACAAGTATACTGCATTGCCCGACAGTTTTGTATGTCCCTTTCATGTGTACTTCTGCTCAGCACCCACAAATGATTTTTCCTAATCCCTCACCTTTCTCAATTCTTAGTTTCTGCCACACTATAGCCATCCTTCTGGACACAATGAGACACTCCTGAGGCTTACTGTAGTGCTTCCGTATGCTAAATGCCTACCTTGCACTTTCCACAAAGGAGAAAAACCTGGATTTAAAGTCTCCATAAACTACTGTCGTTAAGCTACACTACTGTATTACTCCATGATACGCAGAATATAACGTGCAGCAAGATGAAACCTTCATAAGAAGAGGTAAAATGAGAGCACCACTTTTTCTTGTAAACTGCACAAAATGTAGGCTCTGCAACTAATAAATTAATAAATATGCTGGCAATTAGGATGAAAAACCCACCAAAAACCATGAGGAAACCCACCTATGAAACATCCAATACTTACAAAGACAGTTTCCCTGGTTTAAAACTTCCTAACAAGTTTTAGTACTGTACTACAGAAAACAGTCCTTTAAAAACATAAAAAAGCCTCTAAATTTGGGTGCACAATCTGTAAAGCCTCAGTGACTGATTCTGCTAGATATAACATGCTTGGAAGCTGTCTTAACATGTCATTTAAAATCATTATAAGTGAAGTAGAAGTTATCTACAAACTAGAGCCAGGGTTTGGGAGATCTTATTAGACTTGAAATGCTTTTAAATTGGCAAAAAAGGGAGATCTGACATGACATATAATTTAGGATTTTTTTTCCCCTAGGGAAAGTTTGCAGAACAACAATGACTCATCTACATTATTAATTTTTTATTCAATACAATTCCTAATCTGGACCTCCCGTTACTCCCTGTCTCTACCTATTCTGAAGCATTACTCCTCTTAGGTTTCAGGGCACTGGATGTTTACAGACACTAATTAAGATGAACACCCAAAGTTAAGCTGCTAGAGAAAGTCTGAACCAAGTTTCTTTAAACTCAGATTACCTTCTTCCTCAAAACTGATGCAAGCAAGAGGACAGACTGTTCTTCAGAAAATTAGGCCAAACTTAAGCGCCTAATTTTAGACAGCCCTCCATTAGGGACCCAGCCACGTTTTTCCCTTGAGATGTATCACCATTTCCAGTGTTTAACCTCCAAAATCATCTGCTCATGTTTTATCAGCCTTTTTTCTCTGGAAGGGAAAACAATCCCTCCACATCTAACACCTCATTTCTTGATAAAGGGATCAGGATTGACAAAGTGCCTAAAAAAACTGGGGCACAATTTACCTCACAATTAGACAGAAAACAACCTGGGTTTTAAAATACATACACATCAAATTAAAGAAGCAAATAAGAATATCACTAAAAAACAGAGAACTAGTGTACCAGGTAAAGTTACACTAAGGGTGTCTAACCCTCGGGTTTAAAATACACACTGATCTATCACATGCTTTTTAAAAGAACTGCCTAAGATATTTTTATTTGGAGGTGGGGAAAAAGAGATTTTGATACTGCAGTAATAAAGTTTATGTTGTCCCAGCTAAGAAAAGCATTCCCTTTCTGCTTTCCATAAATCTTGGTTCACATCAGATTACTTTAGAAGTTAAGTTCTACTTGATTCAATTTTGTGGGAGACACAAAATAAGAAATTTTTTAACTGTTAAGTATGCAAAGCAGAGGAAAAAAAGGAGAGAAAGAGAAGAATTCTTGCAGTGCCACGACCTCTGAAATTAGAAACAAAGCCCAAATTTGGGTTGTAAGAAACAGATGATCCAATCTCAACTATTTTTGGTGTACTAGCAGTTTAAGTCAAAGTATATTCCTAAAAAAAGATGGGTTTACATGTTACAGAAGCAGCCAGCCACTTCAGTTATGCTGTCAAATGAATTTGGTATTTCTCATACCTGGAAAGATACTTCATGTTGGATATCCTTTCAACAGATCTGCACACCAACGCAAACTAAGAACCATGAGGCTTTAAAACAAAGTGCTAAAAAGAACCCTACTTACAGGATTACCGGTTGCCATCTTCAAGGGCCTCAGAAGTTTACGTTTTCAATCTAACCAAATGAAGTCCTTTTACAGAACTGAGCATAGCATCTAAACTGTTAACACTTCAAACCTTTTATGAAAATAAACGTCAAATATAGGAGGCAAGAAACCCGGATTACTGCGATTATTGTATATAAAAAGTAATTAAAGCAACACAAGTTCATAAACTGTCAGATCAGCTGGAGTCATACAGCATGTGCTCTAAAACTGGTTTGATCGTTTCCTTGCAGGGAGAGAGTAATTCTCGTGTTTCAAAAAGATCAGATGTACAGAAGCAGCACTTTGAGAGGTAACTGTAAAGAAATGGTTAGTAACAGCAATTCCACATTGCATCAATTTTACAGTAATAGCATGTATTATATTTTCAATTGAAGGCCTTCAAGATATTAGCCACTAATTGTGACAAGAGGGGCACTGTATTAGCCAATTAGCCAATTAAATTGCCTAGTATACTGAAAATCAGCAAGATGAGTAAAATTGGAAAAGCTGAAAGTGAGAAGGCTCTGAAAATAACGGCTGAGTAAACAGGCCATTTTGAGTAACCTGCTGTCTTGGCAGAGAGTCGAACTACTCATGACAACACTAAGAGGGAAGTCTCAGCATAACCGAATACACCCGAAGATCCACTCCACTGGCGAGCCAAGTAAAGAACACTACTAGGAACGCAGAGCAGGATACTGCAACAGCAGACTGATTGCTCGGAGAGTCTACAGGGATAGATGCAACATGTGACAATAAAAAGTGAGTCTGAAGTGTCTAAGAAAGTTGTGAAAAAGGAGAAAAATGACGACAAATTTCAGCCATAGTATGAGATAGAGTGTTAAAGTGAAATTAAAAAGGCAAGAATGAGCTAATCTAAAACGTGGTTT